TGTCTTAGGACCTGTAATACTTTACTCCAAGCTCTTCTCAATTGGATTGTTTGTGTTGAGAAGTCTGCCATGATTCTGATGGGCTTTCCTTCATAGGTAATCTGTTTCTTTTCTCTAGCAGCTTTTAATATTCTGTTCTTTTGCTGGACAGCTGCAATCTTGACTATTATATGTCTGGGTGTAGTTTTATTTTGGTTATGGCTAGCTGGATTTCTATATGCCTCATTTACCTGTATAGCAGATTCTGTTTCCATGCTTGGGAAATTTTCTGCTATTATTTCTGCAAATATTCTTTTTATGCCATTTGTGTTGCCTCCTGCTATTTCATTGACTCCTATTAGTCGTGCATTATTCTTCTTTGCCTCGTCTTGCAGCTGTTGAATTGGCTTTTCCTGGTTCCTTGTTGCTTTTAAGAGATCCTTTCTTTCACAGTCGCTAGCTGCCATGCTATCTTCAAAATCTGAAATTCTGTCTTTGGCTTTGTTCAAGTGGTTTTGGAAGCTTTCAGTGGAAGCTTTTTGATTTCCTGGATGTCTCTTTGAATCTGGTTCATGTATCCTAATTCATTCCTATATTTTTCATTTAACATTTCCATCTGTTGCCTATATTCATCTATTTTTTATATGTTTTTTCTTTAGATGTGCTGAGCAGTTCTTTCATTATAATTGTCATTTCATTTTTTGCCTGAGAGATTATTTTGGATCTGATCTTTTCTATGGCCTGATGGAGTTGTTTCTTTATTTCCATTGCAATCATTTCAGCAATTTCAGGTGTGTGTTTACCAAGTTCTGCTATGTCGATGTCTCCTGGACTTGTTCTGAGTAGGGCAGATTTCTGAGATTGTGTTTTAGTCCTTTGTCTTGTCATGTTTGATACTGGATGCAGATCGCTGTCTCCCTCTTCCCTGGCAGCTCAGCCAAGGTTGCTAGTGTCCCTAGTTTTCCTGGTGGTCAGGCTGTCCTTCAGTGTCTGCAGAGTTGCACTGCTTAGTCTGGGGCTTTCCAGCAGGTGGTGAACTGTATCTAGTTCTCCCAGGTCTCAGACATGAACCGTGATGTCAGCTAATTACAGACCATCTGATCCAGCATCCCCTCACAGCTCAGGGCAGGTGTACAACCCAGAATCAGATTGCACTGGTGGTGCAATTCCGTACCAGTGGTCTAAATCCAGACACGAACTGCAGGGTCAACAGTTTGTGGACCACCTGATCCCGTGTTTCCAGGCAGCTCAGGACGTGCACAGTAGCTAGATGTGGGCTGTACTGGTAGTGATCATGGACCACCCGTGTCTGTGATCTCCAGGAGGTCAGGGTGCAAGTAAAGCCCAGACCAGAACCACGGTGCCAGCAGCTCATGGAGCACCTGCTCTAGCACCTCACTCGGCACAGGGCAGGTGCAGGAAGGGCCCACATGGGAATCCTGGTGATAGTAGGTCGTGGGCCTTCTGAGTGAGGATCTTCTGTTTGCACTGGGTGCTCAAAAGGTGGAGACTCAGACTGTAATGGCGGCTAGGGGAACATATGTCATTCCCTCTGCCCCCAGGAAGTAGATCTGTAAAAGCATTCTAAATTGGCATTTTTTCTTCCAGTAATTTAAATATGTCACTTCATATGTGTCACTTCATATCAAATATGTGCCTTCTGGAATGCACAGTTGGGGAAATGAGATTGACCATCATTCTAATTCTTGTTCCATTGTATATAATGTACATTTTTCCTTGTTAGCTGCTTTTACATTTTTTCTTTGTCACTGTCTTTCAGTAATTTTATTTTGACATACCATGTTATTATTTTCTTTATGTTTCTACTCCTTGGGCCTTTTGAATACCTCAGCTGTGAGAGTTTATATTTTGGGATGTTTTTCAGTGGTTATCTCTTTCTTTCTTTTTGCTTTTCTTTTCTTTTCTTCTCTTCTCTTTCTCTGTCTCTCTCTCTGTCTCTCTGTCTCTCTCTCTCTCTCTCCCTCTCTCTCTCTCTTTCTCTCTCTCTCTCTCTCTTCCCCCCTTTCTCTCTCTTTCTCTCTCTTTCTCTCCCCTTCTTTCTTTTCTATTGTCAGCCTCCTCTACTACTTCTGGAAGTTCTGTGTTATGTACATTAGACTGCTCAGTTTCTCTTTCCATCAGTCACCAGTGCTGTGTTAATTTTTGTTTTAAAGTTTTTCCTTCTCTTTGTTTCACTGGGGCAATGTCTATTGTCATGTCATCAAGCTGACTGCTCACTTTTTTAGGGCCTAATCTGATGTTAGTTGTACTCAGTATTTTATCCTTTCAGACTCAAGCTACATTTGGGCTTGTTTATGGCTTTCATTTCTGTCTTCCTTATGTTCACTTGTCATCTTTCTTTATGTTCAGGAGCATATGGAGAATGTTTGTAATAATCCTTTTTTTCGCTTGTTTGATAATGATAATGTCTGTCATTTCTTGATCTGTTTCTATTGATTAAATTTTATCCTACTTATGAGATAAATTTGCTTGTTTCTTCATGTGCATAATTATTTTTGGCTGGATGCCAGACAGAATAATTTTTAATCTTGTGAGTATAGGATTTTTAGACATATTTTTATATAATATGTTGGATATTTTCCTAGCTCAAAACCAAGTTACTTGGACTCATTTTGATCAATTTCAGACTTTCAAAATCTTTGTTAGAGAGAATAAATATTCAACCTAGGGATAATTTAAAGTTGCAATTAATATAGTATCCTACTCATAATTCTGACTCATAACTCATATGATATTCTCCTAATGTTTTGTGTATAACACAGTGTCTTCTGAAGTTCCTGTGTATTACTTGTGTATTACAAAGACTTTTCAGTGTGGTTGGCAGGAATAGGCATGCTCCCCAGTCCTATCTATACTCCTCCCCAAATTTGACCTTTTGCTTCTGTGTGCTTCTTAGTTAGGCCTCATCATGCATTCATCTACACTGTATGCAGCCAAAGACTAAAGGAGTCTTTTCACATATCTCTCTTGGGCTTTCTCCTTATTAAGATCCCTTCCGTCAGCCATTCTAACCCCCAATTTTTTTATAGCTTGGCCTCAAACTTTGATTTTTCTCACTTCAACTCAGAGACCACGAGGCTCTATTTAAGTACGTCCTAGCTGGTCTGCTTTTTGAAATCTGATACTTGGCAGTAAGCAGGAACAATCACAAGCATTTGCTTCATTTATCCCCCTTCAGTCAGGGATCAAAGTACTTTGTTGTTTATTATTCAGTGTCAGAAACCCAGTGCCACATATATAAAATGAGGTATGATAAAACATATGGTGAGTTTTTAAATAAAAATTTTAAAATTATTACAGCAAAAGGCATATTGCCATTAATCACTCTCAAAATACTTCCATTCACTTTGAAAACATTTATTCCATTATTTTTGCTACTTTATGAAGCAGTTCTAGAAGTCTGCTTTCCTAAGTTTCTTTAGTTATGCTGTCATGGCTTTTGATGTCCTAGATCAATTGAAAACATTTTCCTTTCATTGTCATTTTGACTTTTGGGAAACAGCCAGAAGTAACAAGGTACCAGATCCAGTGAATAAGGTGAAGGAACACACACCATAACGTTTTTACTGACAAAAATGACCATAAGTGTTTTGAATGGATTCTGGGCATTGAGGTAGCCAGGAAAAGACTGTCATTCAAGAAGGCTTCCAGAACTGCTTCAGAAAGTGGCCAGAATGACAAGTGTGTTGTCATCACAGCCAATGTGTGGTATACTTTTCACACTGAAAATAAAGGCCTATTTCTACTCTTTGCTAAGTGATTCTTGTATCCTTGGCATTTGTGAAAATGAAGTTAAGCTTCTAAGCAACTAGTAATATTAACTTGTTTAGGACCTTTATATGTAGAGCCACCTAGGGCATGTGATAAATAACTAATTGTAATTTGTGTAATCTCATGTTCTTATATAATTACCAGTTGAAACTTATGCCAGTGGTTCTAGGATTTTTAGCAGGTCTGAACTGGTATTCTTATGTCTCAGGCAGTTACTGGTGTTAGTATCTGTGTATTTAGCCTCCTTGGTTTTTGACTCAAGGATAACACTCAAGTATTTTACTCTTTTCTTAGGACCTTTTTTTTTAATAGCAACTGGCCAAAGTATAATTCTAAGCACACATATGAAAGAATGAAGCTGACAAATTAAAAAAAATTTTTTCCCTGTTTTTTGTACCTCTATACTTTTTTTATATGGACATTACTGAAGATAAATCAGAGCTAACTTTACTAGCTTGGTCCTTTAATAAATAGTTGCGTGTAAGAATACGAGTTTTTGACATGTTTTCTTAGTTTTTTATCTTGTTACTTTTACTTCTTTCAAATATTCCTTCTGCTATACTTTTTCCTCTAAAAAAGACATCTTCAGGTTTTTAAAGTGCTTTATCTTACCACACTCCCCATCAATTCCATGTTTGCATGTTTTGGTTCCATGCTATTTCCTCTGCTTAGAATGTTTTCACCATCTTTCTTTCATCGTTCTCATACATTCTTTAAGGTTCAGGTTGAACAAAGGGTCAAATGTGTCTGACATAGATATATATATTTGTAATGAATAAGTGAAAAATAAGGGAAAATTCTTCCCTAAATTATCTGATTTTGTGCCTTCACCCCACAACTTAAGGATCAGAGCTACGTATTAATGTGGGCTCTGGAGTCTGACTCTTTGATCCTCTGGGTGAAATCCTGGTACTACCCACCGAATAGCTGTGGCTAAATTAGCCAACACTCTTGGCTAAATTACTGCAGCTCAGTATCTTCAACTCTGCCATTATGACTGCAATACTATTCTCTTAAGGGTTATTGTGGGAATTTGGTAAGATAATACATAACATACCTAAAGTAGCATCAAGTGTCCTAAAAGTAGCAGTTGTTACAATCAATGGGAACTATTTTGTTTATCAGATTCATTGATTTTTTCAACTCTGTATTTCCATTGATCTCTCGAGTCTCTCCTAAAACTTATTAACTATTTATGTTATTACAACAAGGACTGTCTGAATATGACATAGTTTGAAAATTATGCTTTTTATTATAGTCACATAAAATAAAGTCAGTTACACCAAGTTGTTAAAATACATTGGTGAATTAAAGCTTCCAACACTTACAAATTTTTATACATATAACTATGCATTTATAAATACATACATATGTAAAAGATATATTTTCTTCTAAAATAAAGTGCCCAAATCTTGATATATGGGGGCATAATAGGGAGAAAAAAAATCATAGTTTTTCAGTTATAGACTGTACTTTCACAGTACAAGAATGAACTTTATATACATTTATTCAGGTATAGTGAACTTTACCCATTATTTTCTGAATTCTCTTAAATGAGTTAATTTACCCAAAATTTTAAAGGTAGTCACGTGGTCAACTTAATGAATCAGACAGTTTTTTCTGACTGTGATTAGTATAGAGATTTGGCTTCTGATGGAGGGTTAGTTTAGAACCATTTTTAATTTTCCTGTTGCTTGGACTGATTTTTTTTTTCTGATAAAAGCTGGAAAACAGAGTAAGAAAGACAGGTCTCTAATTCTAACTCTTCTACTAGCAGGCAGTAAAGTCAGCATTTATAAAAAGATTCCTAATATTTTATAACACCCTGGACTTGGGGAGAAAAGCCCTAGCAGAGTCTGAATTGCTGGTTCTGCTGCCTCTATTATAATTAAAATCTTATTTGAGCCAAGGAAGAAGAATTAGGCTGTAACAATCAATATGCCATTGAAAGAACCAACTCAAATGGAAATGAACTCTTCCTTACAGTGAGACACTTTAATGAGGACATGTTTCAACTTAAGAGCAAACTAAAAGACTAAAGAAAAACAGCATGATTTATTTCAGAAAATCCTCACTTCAAATAGGAACTAGAGTTCTATTTCCTGTTCCAATAACTCAGCTTCCCTTCTGCTGTTTTTACTGTACTTCCTGCCTTCTTAGACATTTATGATCATCATCTGTAGTCTTTGACAAGAAATTGAATTTTAAAATACCTTTGAAAACACTTCAACTTATTTACCCAAGGTGGAGATGCCTAAAAATAGCTTAATGCAAACCCTGCCATTTCAGAATCTCTGGTGGTTACATCTTCAAACTAGATTAGAGTGGATCCTATGCAAGCAGGGAGGGGAGAAATTATCAGCACTGGAATTGCATACAACACTCTAAAACTTCCCAGCAAGATGGGAAGCCTAGACATGTCCCAGAGTCAACACAAGGAAGGAACACTTCTTTCTTTCACTTTTGGAGGGGAAGAAAAAGGGCAAGAGAGTGTTTCCGATGACTCAACTCATCTCAGAGGGCCTGTGCGAGACCAGAGGTGCCTAACTGCTGATCTTGGTGAGCATCTTGTTGATGGCCTGCTTGACGTGTGTGGTGGAGCTGCGCCTCCTGGTCTTGCCCTGCACCATTCTCCTGCGACGCACCTCTCGACACAACTCATAGAAGATCTCTGTGATGTTCCCTTCACCTGTGCAGGCGGAGCACTCATAAAAAGCACAGGCCAATTCCGTGGCCAGCTTCTCCCCTTCTTCTGTACTCACTTGTCTGGAGTGGTCCAAGTCAGCTTTGTTTCCAACCAAGATGAGAGTCACGTTCTTGGGCTTTTTGATCTCATCTAGGATATTCTTCAGAGGCAGCACTTCCTCAAAACTTCCTCGGTCAGTAATGTCATAGACCAGCACAAAGCCTTCCCCCCACCGCATGTGGCCTTCCCTCTGAATGGTGTCTTCCTGTTGGCAAAGAAAACCAATCATTAGCAGCCCTGGAGGAAACCACAATGTATAGATGCTGCTAATGTGGATAACAACCCTTAATTACTATCCTTTGTATGCAATTTCATTAAATGCCTTGATTTTCCACCTATATGAGTTCACTTACTCCAATTTTTAAATGGAAGTATTACTTACTCCCAGCAAAATGTTTCAGAGACCTGAAAAATTTCCAATCATAGACTTTAAATTTTTTCCTGCCATATCATTAAATCTGTGATCCTTAAGAACTATAAAAAAATTATAGACTTGGTTGAGAATATCAGCTTTGAGACTTTTTATCACAATCAATGAATTCATAAATTAGTACCAGATAAGTGATCTTTAACCCACATTTTGGGTATAAAAACTCAACTTAAGCAATTATTAAGGCAGGGGCTGGGGATTTAGCTCAGTGGCAAAGCGCCTGCCTGGCAAGCGCAAGGTCGTGAGTTCGGTTCCCAGTACCAGAGAAAAAACAAAACAAACAAAAAAAAAGCAATTATTAAGGCAAAAATTTAGCAAGATTTTTTCTCTTCATTTGCTTCTGTCTGTTTAGATTATTGACAATTAACCCACAGGCACAGAGAAAAATGACAAGCTATACAGAGTGCAACTTTAAGATAGATGCTTTGCTTTTTTTCTAGCTCAGTGACTCAGATAGGTTATGCTATACAATAAAGACATAAACTCGTGATTCTCAAGGAAGTATAAATTCTCCATAGGAAGGTAGATGTATGGCTTGAAAAATCACCTTCACAAGGTTAAGTGACTTCTGGAGACTGTCAGTGCTTCATGAAGATCGGAGCATAAGAAGACAATGACGAAAAGGAAAAGTATACAATTCATTTCAAGAACATTTCTTGAGTTAAACAATTGAATTTGAGTCTCCTTGGGTCACAGGTCATTGGTGAAGCAGCATGGAAGCCAGATTACCTGTTATTCTAGTGGTCATTTCTATATTGGGAAACTAAACCTATCTTTGAATCCTTCTGTAATCCTCAAAGTGGATTTATAGAACAATATTACAGGAGAGATTTCCAAAATAAAGTACTGAATTCTGAAACTAATAAACATATATGGTCAAGAGAATTTTGGAGTACAATATATATCAAATCTCTCTCTTTATGATTCGCTTCACATATAAGCTCTGAGAATTTTTTCAGCTAGTATTTGCTTAAATTTATCTGAGCATTTCAAAACATCTTTTTTAATGAAAATCTATGAGTATGTTTCTATGCCATGAAATAGAGGTAGGATATCTTAACATAGATGATGTGTCAATATTAAAGTATTTTCAAAATTCTCTTAAGTATGGAACAGTTTATATTAGAATGCATAACACAGGCTGTTAGAAGTGCAGTGACCTATAAAATAGCTAGATAACAGATGAAGCAAGTTTCTAGGCATATAAATTTAGTTGAGGAAAGTGGCTTCATTTTGCTCATATTATGTAGCTATAATTTTACTTGATGTGGAAAATATTTTAGTTGAATTTCTATTCACCTGCCCAGCGGTATCTAGTATCTCCATGGAAACAACTTCATCATCGATGGTTGCTTGGTGTCGGTAGGTTGATTCTGAGGAATGAGCAAATAAAGAAGGCAAAAAGGTAAATAAATGCAAGATTTAATTTAGTCCTTAAAATGAAAGGGAGGATGGATGTGTTCGAGTGTAGCATCTTTGTACTCAGCTCTTGGCAGTAATAAGATTAAGCAAGCAGGCTACCAATTTTCAGGGTATAGTGTGGGGGGAGACCTCCTTCTGCACTATTCATTCCTTGTAAGGCTCTATCTTATTCTCCTGTGAGACCAGTTTCTTAATGCTTTTTTACATGTAAATATTCTTCTACATCCTAAAATGATAAGGTGGTTTCCCACAAAATGCATTCTGCCTTCATGGTTCTAAAAATAGTTTATGAAATCACAGTTAATTTATGTTCCTAATAAGGTTGCATACAAACAGAATCTACTACTTTCTTTCCAGTCCTTAACCTTGGAAATATAATAGACATTAGAGCAAGCTGAGTAGATTTTACCACATGGTGTAAAACTATGAGAAATTTTTGAGGAAGTTAAAGGTGACCAGTAACCTAAAGTAGAGGGGAGCCAAGCAACACTGAGGCAAGGGTACAAATTTTTTGCACTCATGTTACATCTTCAAAGCAGAAAATAGAAGCTGCTCAGTACCAACTGGAGGTCAGTGGGTCAATAGCACAGTGGTCGCCAAGCCATAAGGGCTTGAAGAGAAGCTAGTAGGTACAAGGAGATTGGGCAGCCCCAACTGTAGGTGTCATCACGTAAATGAAAACCACTGGTCAAAAAAGTGCCAGCTGGTGTTGCTCTATATGAAAACTGTAACAATGTAAATAAAGGATTCAGTGAATGAATGATCTACTGAGGTGATGAAGGTGAGGTTGATGAACTCTGCCAGAAGGTGTCAGTCAGGAAGTGATGGGAAGAAAATATAAATTGAAAATTTAGTAAGATGTATGGATAATAGAGCTAGAAATCATATTCTGTATCAAATGAGTCTCAAAAGAGGGAATAAAATACAGAAAGGCATGGGAATATTTGAAAGCTGTAATGACTAAGAATTTCCCTGGATTAGAGCCAGTGGAAGACTTAATTAAGATCAAATTGACTAACAGAATACATGAGAAAAAGACTCCTATTTAAATCTATAAAATTGAAAATTAAGGATACAAATGACAAAGAAAAATCTAAAGGGATTAAAAGAGGAAAAAAAGCACATAATTTACAAAAGGACATGAGTCACATTAGATTTCTTACAACTGAACCAAATTCATGATGTTCATGGAAAAAAAAATAAATAAACTACAGCAAAGCCACTCCGTAGTCAGAATTTTAGGTGATTCCAATTTATCATGTCATGGTGAAGATGGGGGAAAGACCAAAGGAGGGTCTGGTAAGCTAACACCTTTTTCAAGAAGACCATAAAATAAAAAAGAAAATTGGAAAAAGTGAGATAAGTATTCCATTCAATAAAGAAGAATAAAAAAAGCAGAATAAAATTTAAAAGGTAGAAAGAAAAGACAAAATGTCATGATGAAAAAACACAATCATCCTATTCCTTTTATGGAGAATTAAACTGAGCTCATGAACAACCAGTACAAGAAAAACAAAAAGAAAATTATTATTCAGAACATTTTAGGCTTGTGCTATATGTGAATATAATTAATAAATCTTAAATAAGCGATTATTCAATTTATTTCAGCAGCATAACGAGTACATAATTATCAAACGGAGTCTTAAGAAAGCAAACAGTATTTAAAGCTTTTCAGTGCAATTTAACACATTAATGAACTAAAGGGGGAAAATCACAGGGTTAACTCTGTCAAGGAGAAAATGTCTCTTTTTTTTATAGCTATCTGTTTAAGATTTTTAGCAATTCTCAGATAACTAAACACAAGAATTCTTTAACCTGAAAAAAGGCTACATGTCAAAGCCCCACAACACACATCAGGTAAATAGGGACATTTTATACCCTTTGTCTTTAAACTATAAGAAAGAAAAAATATGTGGATACCATGTAAAAGTATAATCCAATAGGGACTATCAGCCTTAGACAATGCAATAAAATAGGGAAAAATAAAGAAAAGATATAAGGACAGGAAAAGAAGTTAAAGATCACTGCCAGTAACAATAAAATAAATAATAGTATGCAGAGAGTAGTACAAAATGAACAAAACTGTTCAATGGAAAAATTTATGACTTTACAAAAGGCAACAAACCTTTTGTAGATAAGGAGGGAAAGAGGGTTGAAGGGAAAGTAGGGGGATGGGAAAAATGCATCAAGTTATAACATTTACAGGTACCAATTTCCTATAATGAACGTGATCATTATGTATATCTAAAATGTACCAAGAAACTTAATTTTTAAAGGTTTTAATTTCACCCAAATTAATCTAAAATTCAATACAATTAAAATTAAAAGTCCAAATGGAGGATCTATATAAACTTACCCAATATGGCATAATACAAAGTGTGTAACACTACTCAAATGATGATATAATATCAGAATGGACAAATTCATTCACCAAGACCTGAAAAATAGACCCACGTTTATACAGAAGTGACGATATGGCAGAGGTGGCCCCAACTACTACCTGGTGGTACCCAAGTACTACAAGAGAATAGATCATAGGTTGTTACATGGGAGAAATAAATCTGGACCTCCAAAGACCAAAAGTAAATCCAGAAAAAAGATCTAAATCTATATAGATTTGGAAAGAAAACTTAAATTTAAAAGAATAAAACATAAGAAAATATAAAAACGTACACATTCAAAAAAGAGGTTAAAAACACGTATTGAATAGATTAAAGTGAAGAAATTTTAGGGAATATCAAATACAAAGAGAAATAAAAATGGAAGCAAAGCTTTTGTAAAAGGGGAGGGGAATGAGAAGAAAAGAATCAAAACAAATAATGTACCGAAATAAATTCCCTATGATGAATGTTATCATTATAAATATCTAAAATGCACCAACAAAATTAATTTTAAAACCTGGAGAAAATATTGCACTCAATTACTGGTGAATATCTAAACTATAAAAGAATCTTTAAAAAGTGAAAAAAAGTAGGTGAACAGAAAATAAATACAGGTAAAACATACAAAAAGGAAATTCATAGAAGAGGAAGACCAAATAATTAAAACATACATTGAATGATGTTTTACCTGGCTACTTACCAGAGGGAAGCTTATATAACTATGTCACAACCACAGACTGGCCAAATTAGACAGATAGTATAATGCTTTCTTCGGTTATAGGGAGATTCCCTGTATCAGCAACAGGAGTACAGAATCACTCCAGCATTTTGGAGGGCAACTTAATACTATTAAACACATGTTTACCCTAAGACCTAGCAATCTTCCCCCAGGCATGTGCTATAGCAAAAAATTCTAGTCCAGATTCTTACAGTAGAGCAATGGTCCTCAAAGTGTAGTATCTGGATCAGTGTTGTCAACATCACCCAGCAATGTGTCAGAAATGCAAATTCTGAGGCTCAAGCCCCCATCTATTGGAGCTGAGATCCAGCAATCTGTGTTTCTACAAGTCCTCCAAGTGACTATGATACACACTAAGTTGGAGAACTTCTGGTTTGAAGGACTGTTTCCCCCAGGGATGGTAGCAGGAGCTCACATTGGAGGCAACTGGAGTATTTCCTCCAGGAAAGAAAAGTTAAATGCAGCATACCTGAGGAATATAATGCAGAAAACTAGACACCCATCATTATTTGGTGCTGATGGCAGGTAGAAGGCTAAGCTGCTTAATTAAGCTTCCTTTCTGCAATTTGGTATGAAATTATATTTGCAATAAAAGGAAGATAAAACTATGGTCTCAAAAGGCTGCAGAACAGTTGAAGAAAGTTAGATAGGTAGACAAAAAATAATAAAAGCACTACTTCCCCCCATGTGAGAAAATAAATTATAGGTTTATTTGTTTAAGAGATTAGGCATTTAGGTATTTTAAATGCAAAAATCAAGTTAATAATTATGTTAGTTATCTTACTCTTTTCATAGTACCAAGTCATTCTTAGTATATGAGGCATTTATTTTATTTCCTTTTATTTTCCCCTGTGTCCATGTTCTGATGATCCTTTTCTCTTTCCCATAAATATATCCTAATGTGTTTGGTAAGCATAGTGCTTTCAAGCCTGAACTCCAAAGCCGGACTTCTGGATTCCAATCTCCCATCTACCACTTACCACTTTTGGAACTCTGTACAGGTTATACAATATCCTTATGTCTCAGTTTCCTCTTGTAAGATGGAACTAATAGTAAAATATACCTCATAAGATGTTTGTGAGGATTATATCAGTTGACATAAGCAAAGCATTTAGAACAGTTCTAGTTCAAATAATAAGTAGTGTGCTTTAGCTCTAATACATGCTACATATGAAAATAACTTTATGCATACATTTAAAATTTTCTATAAATTTGATTGTACTGTATACATATTTCCAATCTTAATAACAGAAGGTGGGATTTTGAAGGCCCAGTCATACTGTCATACTGTAGATGCAAGAAATGTTACATTATAGCATGCACATTGCAAAAGTATTTCCCAGAAACTAAAACTTGGAAACAAGTTTATATTTAATATACTTTAATAAATGTGCTTTACATTATTGTCACCCTCCTAGGACTTTTAATCCATACATAAGATGCATACTGATTCTCAATTCTAGAGCATTCTAGAGATCACAGTTTTGGAGGGCTGAATGCTCTAAAATGCTATTCATAGCAGCCATTTGTCTCCAAGTGTTCTCCCAGTTATTGCAGACTGAGAAAAAGCCCAGATGACATCCAATATGCTACAGGTCCGCACCCTTTTGGTTTCTCCCTGCACTGTTCTTTGTGTCTTTGGTAATGACTTCTCTTTCTAAAAGACTGGCATTAGCCCTGGAGTCTGGAAAACAGAATTTTGGGCTGTATTCCATCCCTTTGCACCCAAAGTTGTTTGTGAGACAAGGACATTTTTCTCTGTTCCTTCCATGATAAATAGGGTATGTATTTCCACCACAGAAGGCCACAGTAGGGGGGAAATAGAATAGAATGAAAACTGTATGAAGTTGTGCGTTTCTTTGGCTGTTTGTTAACTGGAATGAAAAAGGATGAAATGCAGGAAATGAGAGAGTGTCTGCCACAGACTGAGCAGCGGGTGGTAGTGGTGATTTCATCTAAGATGAATACTTGTTTCACACCATTCTGAGCATTTTTTCTTTAGGCATCTCTCTTTCTCATTAGGAACTCATTTTCTTTACATATAAAACAGTGGAACTTTCACTCACACACACAAAATATTGTACATGGATGTGCTAGGTCTTCTCAGATAATTCTGATAAACACACTAAATACATTACTTAATAAACTCTGTTACTCATTTTAAAACACAAAAGAAAATAGGTATGTGTTTGGATGATGGATATACTTTCCATTTTCTTTATACTAACAAAAATGACAATTTGAGTCTTTTTAAGGTGTGGGAGATTAATGTTTAGGAAGTTCTTCCAAAAGAAACAAAATGTTACATACTTTAAGAAAAATATACGAATTATATTTGAATTTCATGGAAGATAAAAAAACCTGCATCAACTACATTTTTATAAACATGGTTTCTATTTTGTGTATTCTGAGAGGAATTAATCATCAAAGAGAAGTTGCATGTGGTTAATCCTTCTACTAACCTTAGCTGTTTGCAATTTTTTTTCAGCACATTAATACGGACAGTTGGCCCATGTGGTCGCAATAGCAGTTTGTCAGGCTGATTTATGCTTAGAACAAAAATTGTTCTGACTTGAGTTCCATGGCTGGCCTTGCCACAAACCAGCCATGAAATCTTGGATAAAAATTTATTTCTTTGTACCTATTTCATTATTTGTTAAATGACTATCATCTCTAAGTTCCGCGCCATGCTGTTATTAAACAGTTGTACGAGCTAACTGAGCACTTCTCTTTGGAATCCAATTTGTTCTTAGTGAGTCTTTATCTTTGAATGAGCCTTTTCAAACAGAAGGAACTGTAAAGCAGGCAAGAATCAAGGGCAAAATCAAACCACTAAAATGAGTCTAAAATGTGTCCTGACTCTTACCTTTATTCCTATCTGAGCTTTTATGAAGCAGATAAAGACAGCCAAAGGTCTAGATATACTAGCACAGCAGTGACAGGTGCTGAAATGCAGTCTTTCTCTTCTTCTCCAAATGTCTCCAACACACATACCCTAACAGGTGCACACAGAATTGCACACAAGCTAAGTATTTGTCTGAATTCTGTCCTATGTCCAGCATTCTTACAAGATAGCAGGATACTAGGAGTAGGGATTCAGTTCTTGGATGGGATTGCATAATATGGACTGTTTGTATGCAGTCAGAACACTGCTGCCATGCTTCAAGGGGCTGTCCCGGTTAGATCTTTGTCTCAGGTCTTCTGAGCTTCAGTGGTGGTTTTCAGCTGTTGTTCCTAAACCACAGCTGGCCTCTGACACAGATTTCATTGACCAACGGTGAAATGAGGAAATGTTAAGGGAAACTAAAATCACTCCACGTGAAGGAATGAACTTTTTTCTTCAAGACGTTTGCATATTAAAAATTCTCTTCTTTTGTGAAATAGAAGTTTAAGTAAGTATAGTGTTAGCTTTCCTCATCTCTGCCCCTTATTTGTGTGTCTAACTGGAATTCTTATGATGGACCCTCTCCATCAAAACTGAAACAAAAAAAACTACAGAGCATACACAAAAAAAATCCCATTGGGGCTGAAATCTAGAAGTTTTGAGATCATTTGTTACCATAGTAGCAAGCATTTTTTTTGTGTAGAATTATTTCAAAACAGTAAATATTCCAATGTTGTTAATATGTAGAATGATGTCTTCACTTCTTATGCAGAAATAATTGCTACAACTTGAAAAAAACCCAGGCTCATGTTTCTGCAGAAGACACCGGATTCAGAATTCAAGAATATTTTTGTTTACATAAATATACTTCTTTGTTTTGTAATGTACATGCTTTTTCTGTTGGTGGTTGTCTTGAAGCTTTTAAAGAAGCCACACATTCAACTAAATATCCTGTCTTCCTTTCGTAGTGTGATGCTAACGTAGGAAATGTTAATTTCTGTTGGATCAAATAGATGGAGATCTCTCCTAGGCTAAAACATTTGTGAGTTGCAGTGCACCTGGGTTTATGCCCGGGTAGTTCCAGAAGTAATGAAACTCTCACTTGGAGTGAGTCATGCGCCTGCTACTCCTGAAGTGGAAGTTGAGCTCTGGTTGCTTAGCAGCTGCAGGCATCTGAGCAGAACAGTGCAAGGTCATTCCCTGAAGGTTTGCCACTCAAAGGGAAGGACAACCGATGGGGCTGATTTCTGTTAATAACAGTTGTCATCAAAATGATAAAACAAAAGGGAAAATGGTGCATCTAAGACTAATTTAAAACTGTAACATTAGGTACTGGAACACTTTCAGAGAGACTTCAAAAAATTGATAGGATTATTTCTGTAATCTTTGCCTTTCATTGCACTGTATGGACAGAAAAACAAATACAACTGGTATTATTCTGCTGAACTGCCGTGAATCTTTGGGATTACAATATAATCTCTATAAGACAATTAAATAGTAAAACTATAAGTGGAAAATAGGTATTTAGCTGAGTGAGAAAAAAATAATGATTTTAAACCAGGTTATTGATAGACCTAAGTGTATCATTTTAAAACTTAGAATATGACTATATTGAAAAATTTATCAAAATTTTTGAGGAATAAAATATTTAAGAGCTAAACTAAAGAAGAATAAGTAATAAATGTAGAGATATGCCATTCCCTTATATTGAAAATCATCAAGATAAGGACCACCTCAAGGCAACTTATAGTTTTAATTTGATTCCAATCAAGTTATGACAGTTATTAAAACTGACCTTGAAAAATATAATAGAGAGAGTAGCCAAGATAGTTTTATGAAATAGTAATGGAAGACTTTCTCTACTGAGAAATTGTATAGAGCACACAACTATCAAATATTGTGGGATTGAATGGGAAATGTAAATCTAAATTGTATCCTATTATAAGTGATTTACTCCATAAGGACAGCATTGGAGCTATTTCATTAATGATAGGAGGAACACTGATTAATCATTTAAAAAAAAACTTGGTGCTCTCCTTGTACTTCTTGCTAAAATAGTTTTAGAGAGAGGGAAAACTTGAATATTAAAGAAATAAAGTGGATGGGAGTGGTGGCACACTCCTGTAATCCCAGCACTTGGGAGGCTGAGGTAGGAGAATTGCTG